ACTTAGCATACCTATTTTGCAGGGAGAAATTGAAAGTTCGAGTTTTAGGAGCTTTTCCCCAGTTGCATGACCCTGCTGGCTGTGGTCTCAGGCGTGGTCTGTGCTCTTGCTTAGCATTCCAGCTGTCCCTCCATCTCACTCCCTGCATCCTGGGGTTCTCCTGCTTCAGACCCAGGGGCCACCGAGGAGCTGCCCTTTGCCTGGTCCCCAGTTCCTGTGCTCTTGTGGCCTGGAGTCTGGATGCAGGTCCGGCCTGTTGAGGGCGCTCAAGATCACATAGCTGCTAACATTCCCTTCCAAGCCCTCGGTCACCCATGCTGAGTCCAGCTCCTAGTTAGGACAATGGCCCTAGGATGATCTAAATCCCTCCCTTTTCAGTGCTTTATGGGTTGAACCAACATTTGTCAGGAGCTAACACATGCAGGCACGGTGCCTGGAACTGGGGTCACAGGTCACACAAGTCCAGTGCCCATGAGGCTTACGCTTTGGTAGGCGAGATATGACTGACACAGTAAAACCATCCCACCAGGTGGTGGGAGGTAAATGCCAGCATGGAACCTGTGCAGGAGAGTGGGGAGCAGGAGGGGCAAGGCATGGGGCTGAGTGGGCCCTGGCGGTGGTCTGGAAGGGGGCTGCGGCTCCAACTCATGGAGTTGGGTTGTGTAGTCCTAGGTGGACATGCACATGGTCCCAGACTGTGGGAGATGTGGGTGGAGAGCCCTCACCTGCTCTTGGTTTTCCCCTGCAGGAGCCTGGGTCCAGGTGTCACCATCACCTGAGCTCCAAGAGGGCCAGGCTGTGGTCCTGAGCTGCCAGGTACCCACAGGAGTCCCGGAGGGTACCTCATATCGTTGGTATCGGGATGGCCAGCCCCTCCAGGAGTCGACCTCGGCCACTCTCCGCTTTGCAGCCATAACTTTGACACAAGCTGGGGCCTATCATTGCCAAGCCCAGGCCCCAGGCTCAGCCACCACGAGCCTAGCTGCACCCGTCAGCCTCCACGTGTCCTGTAAGGACTTTTATCCCGTCCATGTGTTGGGGAAGGAATGCAGTCCCCTGGTCCTGGGCTCTGTCACGTGACAGGGCCCTGGATGAGGGACCCCCTGACTGGGTCCTGACCACTCCCCACCCTGTGTAGATGCCCCACGCCAGGTCACACTCACTACCCTGATGGACACAGGCCCTGGGCGACTGGGCCTCCTCCTGTGCCGTGTCGACAGTGACCCTCCGGCCCAGCTGCGGCTGCTCCATGGGGACCGCCTTGTGGCCTCCACCCTACAAGGTGTGGGGGGACCTGAAAGCAGCTCTCCCAGGTTGCAGGCGGCTGTGGCCCCCAACACACTGCGTCTGGAGATCCATGGGGCGATGCTGGAGGATGAGGGTGTCTACACCTGTGAGGCCTCCAACACCCTGGGCCAGGCCTCGGCCTCAGCTGACTTCGATGCTCAAGGTCTGTGTGTGTGTGTGTGTGTGTGTGTGTGTGTGTGTGTGTCTTCTTTAAAAGAGGAGAGGAGGTGGGACAGGGTTCTAGAAGCCTGGAGGCGTAGGAATAATCCTCATTCCCACCCTTCCTAATAGTGGTGGACTCCAGACTTGAGTTTCATGGGAGAACCTTTTTTAAACACCAAATTTTACATGCATGCCCAGTGGATAGAACTAAAGAGGGAATTTCAGGAGAAAGTGCAGCAGGGGAGGGGAGGTCTGCGGTCTCCCCATTTGCCCCCAGCCATGGTCAGGGAGGGGCTCAGGGCCTTCCAGGACTCTGCGGAACTCCACTGGGGACCACTCAGGAGCCAGTAGGCTATTCCCAAGCTCGACCTCTGAGCCCCATTTATAGGTGGGCCACCTGGGGCTCCCAGAGGCCAAGGGGCTCCCCAGCAGTAAGGGCAGCTCACCCACATGGAGGCAGGTGGCTTGCTATACACAGCCTCGAGACCGTCGCTGGTGTCCTGTGCTCTCCCTCTCCCCAGCTGTGAATGTGCAGGTGTGGCCCGGGACCACTGTGCGGGAGGGGCAGCTGGTGAACCTGACCTGCCTTGTGTGGACCACTCACCCGGCCCAGCTCACCTACACATGGTACCAGGATGGGCAGCAGCGCCTGGATGGCCGCTCCATCCCCCTGCCCAACGTCACAGTCAGGGATGCCACCTCCTACCGCTGTGGTGTGGGCCCCCCTGGTCAGGCACCCCGCCTCTCCAGACCTATCACCTTGGACGTCCTCTGTGAGTCTGGCTGGATGCAGGGTGGGGCTGGCAGGAGTGACAGCAGCCCACAGGGATCAGGGCATGGCCAGAACCCCACAGGTGTCCAGTGGGGAACTTAGTACCCAGTAGCTAGAGGAGAACTGGGCAAGGAGCATTAGAGTAGGGGGCACTGGGGTGAGTCCTGTCTGGGCAGAGGAGCAGTGCCTCAGATTGGGTGGTTGGGAGCCATTGGGGTGGGGAGCCAGGGCCCTCCTGAGTTTGAATGCCACCTGCAAACTGGCCTCCTGCAGGCTGCCGCCTGTGACTCCTTGTAAGCCTCTCATGCCCTGCAGACGCGCCCCGCAACCTGCGCCTGACTTACCTCCTGGAGAGCCGTGGTGGGCAGATGGCCCTGGTACTGTGCACTGTGGATAGCCGCCCGCCTGCCCAACTGGCCCTCAGCCACGCCGGTCGCCTCTTGGCCTCCTCGACAGCAGCCTCTATCCCCAACACTCTGCGCCTGGAGCTGCGGGAGCCACAGCCCAGTGACGAGGGTTTCTATAGCTGCTCTGCCCACAGCCCTCTGGGCCAGGCCAACACGTCCCTGGAGCTGCGGCTGGAGGGTGAGGCAGGGCCCAGGCCAAGCCCACTGAGATGGAAACCCACTGTGGTGTCTGGCTGGGCCCAGCTGATCCTGGCCTCCTTCACACAGGTGTGCGGGTGATCCTGGCTCCAGAGGCTACTGTGCCTGAAGGTGCCCCCATCACAGTGACCTGTGAGGACCCTGCTGCCCGCCCACCCACCCTCTATGCCTGGTACCACAATGGTCGTTGGCTGCAGGAGGGGCCAGCTGCCTCGCTCTCATTCCCGGTGGCCACAAGAGCTCATGCAGGCGCCTACTCTTGCCAGGCCCAGGATGCCCAGGGCACCCGCAGCTCCCGTCCTGCTGCCCTGCAAGTCCTCTGTGAGCAGGGGGTCCTTGGCCAGGGCTGCCCAGGAGGAGGGTGCTGGAGGGTGCTCTGGGCTCTGGTGGGGGTGGGCACAGGACTGCAGTGGGCCCAGGAATGGGCAGTTGGGGAATGAGGACATAGGTGCTGGAGAAAGAGACAGTCCTATAAGCCCTGCCTGGAGTACTCTGCCCATAGGACTCCTGGGAAGGTGTCACTTCTAGGAAGTGGCCGTTGGTCCAGAGGCTTCAACCTGGCCAATCCCAGGCAACTGGGCAATACGCAGTGCAGGGTGCCTAAGCAAGGCCCCCATCTGTGCCCTGCCTACCCACAGATGCCCCTCAGGACGCTGTCCTGTCCTCCTTCCGGGACTCCAGGGCCAGATCCATGGCTGTGATACAGTGCACTGTGGACAGTGAGCCACCTGCTGAGCTGGCCCTATCTCATGATGGCAAGGTGCTGGCCACGAGCAGCGGGGTCCACAGCTTGGCATCAGGGACAGGCCATGTCCAGGTGGCCCGAAATGCCCTACGGCTGCAGGTGCAAGAGGTGCCCGCAGGTGATGACACCTATGTTTGCACAGCCCAAAACTTGCTGGGCTCAATCAGCACCATTGGGCGGTTGCAGGTAGAAGGTGAGTGGGAGAGGGGGAGGAGGAGGGGCTCTGATGCTGTCAGGTCCAAGTCTATGAGAGGGGCTGGAGCTCCCACTAGAGCGGGCTGTCTGGTCTGAGAAAGCCCTGCCTTGAGAAGCCTAATCTGATGGAGGAGGCACAGCTCCCACTGGAGGGGGTACAGTTCCACCTTGGAAAGCCCAATCCCAAGTCAGACTGAGACCTTCCCACAATGGGCAGTGGCCCCTCAGAGGTCCACCCAGAGGCTCCAACCCCTGAGGCCTACAGATCTCCAACCACCTATCTATCCTCCACCCGCAGGTGCACGCGTGGTGGCGGAGCCTGGCCTGTATGTGCCTGAGGGTGCTGCCCTGAACCTCAGCTGCCGCCTCCTGGGTGGCCCTGGGCCTATGGGCAACTCCACCTTTGCATGGTTCTGGAATGACCAGCGGCTGCACGTGGACCCTGTGCCCACTCTCGCCTTCACCCACGTGGCTCGTGCTCAAGCTGGGATGTACCACTGCCTGGCTGAGCTCCCTACTGGGGCTGCTGCCTCCACTCCGGTCATGCTCCATGTGCTCTGTGAGTGTGAACCTCCTCCCCTGCCTTAGTCTCCCCACACCTCACACGCCCACCTCAGTTCTTCCTCCTCTTCTGTCTGCCAAGAGTGAAGACTTCGTGGATATTGAGTTCTGGGTTGGAATCCTGGCTCTCCTGCTGTCTGGTTGTGTGATCTTATAAAATGGGGAATACATCATTCACCTCATCTTGCAAGTAGTATAAGAAATAAATGGAAGGGCACGGGGGCTCATGCCTGTAATCCCAGCACTTTGAGAGGCTGAGGTGGGTGGATCACTTGAGGCCAGGAGTTCGAGACTAGCCTGGTCAATATGGCGAAACTCCGTCTCTACTAAAAATACAAAAATTAGCACGGCATGATGGCACACACCTGTAATCCCAGCTATTCAGGAGGCTGAGGCAAGAGACTCGCTTGAACCTGGGAGGTGGAAGTTGCAGTGAGCCAAGATCACCACAGCACACTCCAGCCTGGGTGACAGACTGAGACTCTGTCTCAAAAAAAAAAAAAAAAAAAAAAGAAAGAAAGAAAGAAAGAAAAAAGAAAAAACCAAAAGAAATAAAGCATGCTGAGTGTCCGGCACACAATAGACCCTCATCAGTCTTGGTCTCCCCTCCAGCCTTCACTAAAGCCTACACTGTGTCAGTCAGCTATTGCTACATAACAAGCCACCCCAAAACTTACTGTTTCAAACAAAAGCCATGTTATTTGCTCAATTCTGTGGGCTTGGCTCAGCTGGGGAGTTCTTCTGTTGTTCACACTTCATGTGGCTGCAGTTGTCCAGTGGTCTCAGATGACTGCACACTCGTGGCTGCCGGTTGGGCCACATGTGCCCAGCAGGCTGGCCTGGGCTTCCCACATTGTTGTGTTCCAACAAGCAGAAGAGAAGCTACAAGGTCTCTTGAGGTCTGGCTCTGAAGTTGCACAATGTCACTTCTTTCTTCAGTTGATCAAACTGAGTCACAGATGCAAGGACTGAGGAAATAGGTTCTGCCTCTTAATGGGAGGAGCAGCAAAGTCACTGTGCATGGGTGCAGGGAGGGAGGAATTTGTGGCCATTTTCTGCAATCACCACACTCCCTTCCTCTCACAGACCCTCCCAAGACGCCCACCATGATGGTCTTCGTGGAGCCTGAGAATGGCCTCCGGGGCATCCTGGATTGTCGAGTGGACAGCGAGCCCCTTGCCAGCCTGACTCTCCACCTTGGCAGTCGACTGGTGGCCTCCAGTCAGCCTCAGGGTGCCCCTGCAGAGCCACACATCCATGTCCTGGCTTCCCCCAATGCCCTGAGGGTGGACTTCGAGGCACTGAGGCCCAGCGACCAAGGGGAATACGTGTGTTCTGCCTCAAATGCTCTGGGCTCTGCCTCTACCTCCACCTACTTTGGGGTCAGAGGTAAGGGGAGGGGGCTCCATCTCCCAGGCCACTCTGCACAAAAGCCCAGTTCTTAGGCCCAAAGGCTTCCTTCCCTGTATCCCTTCTACTGCAGCACAACTTGCCTGTCTACTCTAAACTGATTGCTAGGGGCTTCCTTGTGTGAAGAGATAAAGCAGAAGTTAGAAGGTTTCATCTTGGGTGGGTCCCCTTGGAAGGAAGCACTGGGGGCCTGCAGCTGTGGCTGCCCTGAGTCCCCCTCTGTGTTCCAGCCCTGCACCGCCTGCACCAGTTCCAGCAGCTGCTCTGGGTCCTGGGAGTGCTCGTGGGCCTCCTGCTCCTGCTGTTGGGCCTGGGGGCCTACTACACCTGGAGGTAGGTCTGGAGCCAGGGGTGGGCCAGAAGATTGGGGTAAGGCAGCCCAGCTCATCTTCCCCCCAAATTCCCCCAGGTCCTTTAGGACCTCCTATCAAGTTCACAGGCTGCCTACTTCTCAGACTGCCCCTCCAAATTGGGAATCCCTTCTAGAATTGCCCCTGAATCCTCCTTGCTGTAGTTTTCTTCTTTCCTCCTCTCTGCCCTGGCTGTGCTAAAGCAAGGGCTAGGGAGGAAGACAGAGGAAGCACCCACTCTCCACCACTCTGGCGGTCTGGAGCCAGCCTGTGGGGAGTGGGAGAGGAATGGGGGCAGCAGGTGGGGAGGGGAAAGGCTCTCTGAGTCTACTCTGGGCCTTGCAGAAGGAGGCGTGTTTATAAGCAGAGCATGGGCGAGAATTCGGTGGAGATGACTTTTCAGAAAGAGACCACGCAGGTATCCATTCAACACATGCGGGCAGATACAATACCCAGCTAACCCACAGTGCCGACTGGCATCTGGAGACTGCTGTCATTTATGGGATGGTGCCTGGGACCAAGGGGAGGTTGGGGAGAGCATGCAGGGAACCAGGAGCCCCTCAGGAGATAGGAGAGCCCTGTTCTGCTTGGGGCAGAGAGAATCTCTCTGTCTGCTGGTGGCTGGCTTAGAGGACTAGGGGAGACTTCCTGGACTTAGCAGCATCCCCTCCATTTCCAAGACACATGTTCTGACTCCCTCACCTTTGATCTGAAGCCTCTTCCCCACTCCCGAGCCTGCCCATCACCTGGGCAGAAGTGAAAGTCAGTTTCTCCTCCCCTGTGGTGTGTCCCTTCTGCAGCTGATTCACCTGGTGGGCCAGGGCTCCAAGTCACACTTCCAGCCATGCACACTCCCACCAATCCTCTTGGGACCCTACCTAAGGCTAGGGGCCTGGGAGCCTTCCCTGGCTCCCAGAGGCCTCCTGTAACCAAGGTTTTCTCTTTGGGAAGCTCATTGATCCTGATGCAGCCACATGTGAGACCTCATCCTGTGCCCCACCCCTGGGCTGACCAGTGGTGTTACCTGCCCTCCAGAGGAGAAGGTGGCCAGCATCTATTATGACTCCAGCCTGTGAATGTGAATGAGGCAGCATTGGGTCCTGCCTGCCTCTATGAAAACAGCTCTGTGACATCTGACTTTTAATGACCTGGCCCCAAGCCTCTTGCCCCCCCACCCCACAAAAATGGGTGGTGAGAGGTCTACCCAGGAGGGTGTTGACCCTGGAGGACACTGAAGAGCACCGAGCCGATCATGATGACCACTTCTCTCACTCGCTCTTCTCTGGATCTTCTCCCTTCTCTCCATTTCGCCCGCAAAGGAAGCCCTGCCCTTTCACATCCTTCTCCTCGAAAGCCACCCTGGACTTTGATTGGATTACAGCATCCTCAGAGGCTCGCCAAGGCACTCTGTATTCAGCAGAGTATCAGCCAGTCTGCTCTAATAAGAGACCAAATACAGTGGCTTCAACATGATAGAATTTTATTTTTCTCTCCCATGCTAGTCTGGCTGTTACGATGGTTTAAGATGATGGGGCTCAGGATCCTTCTATCTTCCTTTTATCTATCCCTAAAATGTTGCCTTTGATTGTGAGGCTCACCATTGTCCTGCTCTGTCCACATGCCCTCCAGCCAGAAGAGGGAAGAGTGGAGGTAGAAGCACACCCATGCCCATGGTGAACCCAACCCAGAAGCTACACAGGACTTTTCCACTCACTTCCCATTGGCTGGAGTATTGTCACATGGCTACTCCAAGCTACAAGGGAGACTGGGAAATGTAGTTTTTATTTTGAGTACAGAAGCCATTTGGAATTGGACTTCCGAAGGGCTCCCAACTGTGGGCTCAGCCCTGGGACTTTTGACATTGTTGGGAATGCCATCAGCAGGCCATGTTTTGTCTCAGTGCCCATCTACTGAGGGCCTGGGTGTGCCCCTGGCCATTCTGGTCATGGGCTTCCTGGAAGAGATGATCACTCTCACACTAAGACTGAGGAAATAAAAAAGGTTTGGTGTTTTCCTAGGGAGAGAGTGAGCCAGGCAGTGGAGTTGCCTAAGAAGACATCCTTGTGCCAGATTTGGCCCCTGAAAAAAGAGATGCCTTCATTCCCCCCCACCCCCACCACCACCCATACCCCCAGTGGCTGGGTACTGCCTTACTGGCACTTACAAGAGTGGAGGGCAGACACAGATGTCGTCAGCATCCTTGTTCCTGCTCCAGATGCATCCCTGTCCATGGCTGAGTGAGCTCCTGTCCTTTTCCTGGAGGCCCTGTGTCGGGCTGTTAAAGAGAACGAGTTACCAAGAAGGACTGACGTGCCACTGTGAATCAGGGACCAAGAGGAGAGAACTCTGGAGTGGGCTAGTGACTCCCCTGCAGCCTGGTGGAAATGGTGGGAGGAGCTAAGAGCCCTGTGCTCTAGGATTTGGGTTGAAAAACAGAGAGAGAAGTGGGAGTTGGCACAGGAGCTAACAGGCTGGGAGGCAGTTGGGGGCCAGGTGAACTTTGTGTAGCAGAGGCCGCACCCTCCCTCATTCCAGGCCCTTTCATTTTCATGCTCCATTGCCAGACTCTTGCTGGGAGCCTGTCCAGAATGTCCTCCCAATAAAACTCCATCCTATGACACAACTGGAGTGAGTCTCTTTCTTGCAACCCAAACAGCTGGGCTAGAACACAGAGGAGTCTCAAGTTAGTGGGGTTTATTCTTAGACACCATCTGTAGGAGGGGGCCAGGGGCTGCAAGTTACTTGACATTTATCACAAATTACCTTATGCTGAAGTGATTTATGTCCCTTTCTGTTCCTTGAGGCTCCATGTGTTGCTCACATTTGCCACCCACGATGACCAGCCCCGTGCGTGGCACGCAGCAGGTGGGCATGTGAACTAAGCATTTGTCTTGTCTACATTGCTGACAATGGGGAGGGTGGAGAACATGGACTAAATCCGGAGGTGGGACAGGGAGAGAGCAAGCCAAATGCAGCCAGATGTTTGGGGGCTATCTGGGGAAGAGAGGGTGAGGGGAGGATCATAAGCAGCCGCTGAAGCTGCGGCTACTGGCGGATTTAGGAATATCCGGCTTGGGAGTCTTCCTCTGCTTCCGTGTACTTCCAAGGGGACATATGTCCATCTTGGATCGCAGGGTTCTCAGAGGGATTTGTTGTGTTTGCTTCCAGTGGTCTGAGGCCTCCTGAGACTTTTTGTACATTTAATTGAAGTGTAACATACAGAAAAGTTTACACATTATAAATGCAACTCAAGGACTTTTCCAAAAGCAAACACACCCAGATCAAGAAACAGACCATCCCACAGTCCCCCCTTACACCCTGTACCAGTTGCAGCCCCCACAAGGGTAACTACTATCTTGACTTCAAACACCATAGATTTGATTTGCCTGTTTTTGAACTCTATATAAGTAGAATCACAGAGTGTGTATAATGACTTTGGAAAACTGTTTGACAATATCTATTAAAGCTAAAATACCCTTGCCCTACGAACCTGAAATTCCACCCACCTTGCCAGGGACAAAAAGTTCCCCTCTAAATGCACCAGGCTGTCAGGGATGAAGCCTTGGCTTTGGGGCCCCCATTCATACACAAGATTTTTTCTGGGGCACCCAAGCATCAGTCTGTCATCTCGAGGTGCCACCCTGGCCATCTCTGAGGGCTGGAATCAGAGTGCCTCCCTCAGACATCCTGTTCTGCATCACCCCTTGGGAGGAGTCATGTTTACAGATGGTGGGTGTCACCCATGCCAAGTACTTCGAAGGGTTAATGCTCACTGGTTTGCCTGTTTCCCAGGACACTTCCCGATGCTCCTCTGGAGGGTGAGGCCAACAAGCTAGTGGAGAAGTCATCTTTCCCAAGTGCTGCTGGGCGCGCCCGGAGCTGCTCAGTGCATCCTAGGGTCCCTCTTCCTCAGCTTTGGTTTGATGGCCTCATCTCCTCCCCTGCAACCTCAAAATGTAAAGAAACCCTTGCTCAGAGACTTCGGCAGAAAATTCCTCTGACCCGCACTTGGACACAGCTCATCCGGGTTTGGGAGGTGTCAACTGTGTAAGGAAGACTCTGATCCGCATGTGGCTCTTCGACTGTGTCCCCTCCACAGTCAGTTATTAGCACTGACTGTGCTAGGAAGTGAGTAACACACATATTCCCAGACCACATGGAGCTCAGGAGCTTGGGGAGACAGACAGGGAAGTAGACGACTACAGTGCCTTGTGAAACGTGTTGCAGGGAGAAGTGTCATTCAGGGGATGCTAACCTGGCTTTGGGTAAGGGACAGCCTCTGAATGACAGAACATTAAAGCCATGGCCTGCAGTTTAAGTAGGAGTTGGCCAGTTCGAGGTAAGAATACCAGTAAGCAAGGTCGCCAGAGTAGCTCCTAGAGCTGCCTTCTCTACCTGACATCCACACTGAAGCCAGCCCCTCTGTGTTCAACCTTGCTTTACTGAAGAGGTGTCGCTGAGGGGCTGCTCTGGGGGGCTGCTCTGCTTTCCTGCCCCAACTTCTTCTGAGCTCGAGTCACCTCCATATTGGTGCTCCTGGTTCTCAGGCCTTTGGACTCAAACTGAATCACACCACTGGCTTTCCTGGTTCTCCAGCTTGCAGATGGCAGATCCTGGAACTTTTTGGCCTCCATAATCACGTGAGCCAATTGCTATAATAAATATTTCTCTTTCCCTCTTTCTTCCTCTCTCTCTCCGTGTAAATATAGCTCCAATTATAAGAGCCCCAAACTGGAAAATAACCCTATGTTGCACTGGTGAGTAGAGAAACTGTGGTTCCCTCCAACCACGGAACACTATTCAGCAATACGAAGGAACAAACTATTGATATGCAAAGTAGTGTAAATGAATCTCATAAACATCGGAAAGAGGGAAGGAAGCCAGACACAGAAGAGTACATGCCACATGATTCCATTTATATGAGATTCTAGAACAGGCAAAACTTATCTATAGACAGAGAACAACAGACCAGTGGTTGTCTGGGGTTGGGAGTGGGGAAGTTTGGTTGCAAGGGCACAGGGCTCTTTCTGCCGGTGAGGGAATGTGTCTGCATTACAGTGATGCTTATGCAGGTATATACACTTATCAAAATTCATCTTACTGGCCACTTAAAATAAGTGCATTTTATTGTGTGTAAATTATACCTTAATGAAGTTGATTTGAAAATCCAAAGTAGTAATAATAAGTAATAATCTCATAGCTGGGCAGGTGAGGTGACTCACTCCTGTAATTCCAATGATTTGAGAAGCTGAGGCAGGAGGATCACTTAAGCTCAGGAGTTCTTTTTTATTTTTATTTTTTGAGACGGAGTTTCACTCATGTTGCCCAGGCTGGGGTGCAATGGCACTATCTCCGCTCACTGCAACCTCCACCTTCTGAGTTCAAGCCTCCCGAGTAGCTGGAACTACAGGCGCTCACCACCATGCCTAACTAATTTTTGTATTTTTAGTAGTGATGGAGTTTCACCATGTTGGCCAGGCTGGTCTTGAACTCCTGAGCTCAAGTGATCCGCCCGCCTCGGCCTCCCAAAGTGCTGGGATTACAGGCAAGAGTCACTGTGCCTGGCCAAGACCCGGAGTTTGAGATCAGCCTGGGAAACAAAGTGAGACCCCCTCTCTACAGAAAAACTAAAAATTTTAGCTGGGCCTGGTGCTGTGTTCCTGTAGTTCCAGCTACTCAGGAGGCTGAGGTGGGAGGATTCCTTGAGCCCAGGATTTAAGGCTGCAGTGAGGCATGATCAGGCCACTGCCCTGTAGCGTGAGTGACAGAGTGAGATCCTGTCTCTAAATAATACTCATAAGAACAACAAGAGCCCTCTAAATGCACTGATATCTAAGATGTATTAAGTGACCAAAAAAAAAAAAAAAAATCAATGTGCAGAAAAATGTTAATAAGAGAAAAAATATGTCTGTATTGTCTTTAGTATACATAAAAATAATCTAAAAGCCTATGAAAGAAACTAATCATATTGGTTTCCTGCTGGGGAGGAGGGCTGAGAACACGAAGACTTTCCCTATGCTTTCTGTATCTTTTGATTTTGAGACATACGAACGTAGGTTTCTCTCACTGCTCGAACTAATCAAATCACTACATTCCAAATTCTCAAAAACAAATAGATTTGCTTAAAAGTAGGCCGCATGCCGTGTCTCATGCCTGTAATCCCAGCACTTTGGGAGGCCGAAGCAGGCAGATCACCTGAGATCAGGGGTTTGAGACCAGCTTGACCAACGTGGAGAAACCCCGTCTCTACTAAAAATACAAAATTAGCGGGGCGTGGTGGCACATGCCTGTAATCCCAGCTACTTGGGAGGCTGAGGCAGAAGAGCCACTTGAACCCGGGAGGTGGAGGTTGCAGTGAGCCGAGATTGTGCCATTGCACTCCAGCCTGGGTAACAAAAGAGAAACTGTCACAGAAAAAAAAAAAAATTGCTTAAAAGTTAACATCTTGGGCTGGCGCAGTGGCTCACGCCTGTAATCCCAGCACTTTGGGAGGCCAGGGCAGGCGGATCACAAGGTCAGGAGATCAAGACCATCCTGGCTAACAGGGTGAATCCCCGTCTCTACTAAAAATACAAAAAAATTAGCTGGGGGTGGTGGTGGCGGGCGTCTGTAGTCCCAGCTACTGGGGAGGCTGAGACAGGAGAATGGTGTGAATTCGGGAGGTGGAGCTTTCAGTGAGCAGGAGAATCGCTTGGACCAGGGAGTCAGAGATTGCAGTGAGCCGAGATCGTGCCACTGCACTCCAGCCTGGCGGCAGAGGGAGACTCTGTCCCAAAAAAAAAAAAAAAAAAGTTAACATTTCATCCAAATTTATGCCCAGTAGGAAAACAAAACTTTAAAACATGAAACAGGTGTTACTGAGGCCAAAAGGGTCTCCAAGGTCTGGGAGTCTGTAGCTTTATACAATTCTGCCATCTGGCCACCGCCAGGGACAAAGGGTTGTCTCTGTCCGCTGCACCGCCTTTGCCCAGCAATGAAGCCCCCAAGACCTCCGTCTCTACTGGCTCCCTCCTCCCCGGGGTCAGCGACTGGTGGCCACTGTGGTTCGGAGACAGCAACACTGACAACCGCAGCCAGTGGCCTGGACGTTCGTATCCCTAGGGGCACCCAGCGCAGGTGGATGACCCGACTCAACCTCCACCAGATTCTCCTCGGGGCAGGACAGGTAGCGAGGAGGGGACCGAGATTGGCCCCAGGAGACCACGGAAGATCGCGCTTCTAGGGCCGACTTCAGCAGCGACAGGCGGCCTTTGCCCATCGCCCCACCCTACCACGCCGTGGTCCTCAAAGAACCTTGCCGGCGGTTCTCTACTCCTCTCAGGAGTAGAGGCCCTTTGAGACCGACGGAGAGGGACGGCTCAGGCCGGTCATCCGAGGCCGCACGGATTCCCTTCTCCGCCCAGCTCCACCCCTCGAGGGGCGGCGGTCCCGGAGTGGCGTCCTGGCTCCCCCAGGGCGCACGCCGTCGGGGCCCCAGGCCAGGCTCCGAGCGGGGTTGGCGGGGAGGGGAGGAGGGAGCGAGGGCGGGCGGTAGCGGGTGGGGGCGGGAAGGTCCGAAGGCGGCGGCCTGGGGCTGCATGGGACGTGGGTCGGCCGCGATCCAGCCCAGGCGGAGCCGGAGCTGCGAGCCACAGCCTAGAGGCCGAGGAGCTCACAGCTATGGGCTGGAGACCCGGGAGAGCTCGGGGGTCCCCGTTCCTGCTGCTGCTACTGCTCCTGCTGCTCTGGCCAGTGCCTGGCGCCGGGGTGCTTCCAGGTGAGGACCCGGGCGGGGTGCGCCCTGAGGGGCAGGCGAGGCGAGGTGGTGGTGGTGGAGGGGATGGGTTCTGCTCAGAGCCCGGGTGAGCGCGCGGAGGGTCTCTCAGCCCCGGGACCACACGGCCAGTAGGTCAGGGCGTGGGGACGGTTTGGGGGCGTCTCCGTGGGACCTGCCCAGGGACGCACAAGTGTACTTGGGCTGGCCTGGGCCAGGACTTGCCCACACTGCCCGGCTGCCACTCTGCTGGCAAAGCGGAGGGCATGGCCCCCTCCCCCTCGGGGGCAGCCCAGCCCCCAGCCCGTAGCTCCCTCTGCCTGGATTCTCGCTCTCACAACCTCCCAACCCCCATCCGCCGGCCACCGTGTGACCAGCTCCTGCACCTCCACCCTTTAGGATTCAGCGGGGCTCCATCCTCCAGGAAGCCCCCATGCCCAAGAGTCCCCCAGAGTCCCTGCTTTGCTCTCAGGGTGCGGAACCAGCTGTGGCCTCCGCCCTGCTCACCCCTCGTCCCTCCTCCCAGGGCGGCAGGGCAGTGTGTATGTTGTTTATATTGTTGCCTTGTTTGGTGAGATAGAGAAGGGCCTTTCCAGACAGAAGGTGCCTGTTTAGTTGTGCTCTGGGAAGACGGCAGCACTGTCTCCTGGGGGTACTCCCTCCAAACAAAGATGTTAAGATGGGACTGGTAACAACCTCTGCAAGCGGGTGGGAGGATTAGCCAGTCCTGCACAGCAAGTGCCTGGCCGAGGACAGGGGGGGCAACCAGGGAGGAGGCATGCAGGGCTGGGCTGGGCTGTGCAGCCTGGGCCATGGCTTCCACAGCACTGTGTGGGGACCAAACAGGTACAGGGGTCTGCTCTGTTCTGGCCCCAGGGGAGGGTTCTAGGTGGTCCACTGCTCCCTCCCCTCTGAGCCCTATCCTGGGGCCAGGGGAAGCGACAGGACCCCTGGGAGAGGGGGGCTCTATGTGCCCAATACCAACCTGGCTCCCTCGGGGTCCACTCCCATCCACCCGGTCACTGGAGCTCCAGCTCTGCCCCTCTCTCCCTCATTGGGGTCAGGGTGCCCGTGGCCAGCATGTGCGTGCAAGGCCATGTGGAGAGCACCCATACCCACACTGCACCCACACACCGTGCCTGAGCCCACCCTACCTCCTCCCCAAACCCTTAGAGGCCTAGGAGCAGCAAAGCTTGGTTCTCTACTCTCAGTTAAGTGCTCTCTGGGCTGAGAGACCTCCTTTCTTTCCCCTCCCCCAGATCCACTCAGAGCCCTCCCTGCACTGGCCCCTCTAGCCTCCTTTCCAAGGTGGCAGACTCCTCTTGGTCCCCATTTGCCCGATGGCAACTCACTCATCCAATCAAGGAGGGCTTCTTGGAGGAAGGGTCTTTGATGCTTGGAGTCTGGGAGAGAAGGTGGAGGAGAAAAAAGAAGTTAGGGTGGCCTACCAGGAGCTGAGTCACTTCCACAGGCAGCCATCAGCCCAGCAGGACTGAGGCCAGGGCTGCATGGGGGCGGGGGTTGTCCGTTCTGGGAGCTGGGACTGGGTACCTGGGGAAGGAGGGCTGCTGCAGGCTCTGCGTGCCTGGGGCCTGTCTCCTGCAGGGTGGGCCTGTGGGAGTGGTTGGGGCTGGTGGGGGGCTGGGAGCATTCCAGGGGAGCATTCCAGGCGCCCTCTGAGTAATGTTTGGATCTGGGATTCCTCCTAGAGCCCCCTTAGGCACATCCTGCCAGGGAGAACCAAGGCCCCTGTCCGGAAGCCTCCCCTCACCTTGAAGAGATGAGGAGGGGCCTTCTGGGCCAGGGTACAAAATCCCTGCCTGAGGATGGAGTCCCCGAGGGAGCTCCGGGCAAGGTGGGCCTCGCAAGGCCACATCTGGCTGTTGTTTCTCTCAGATGATGGGGCTGCACAGGCGTCCTCTCTTCATAGATCTCTCACCCTGAAAGCATCTGCTGCCCATCTAAAAATACCCAAGGCTGCCTCCCTCTTCCCTTCCCCTTTGCACTGGCGGCCTTGGCCTCTTCCTTGTGATCACCGACCCCAAGCCTGCCCATCCACCAAAGGTCAGGGGACTCCCGCGTCCCCAGCTGAGCTGTCCTTTCCCAGCCTTCTTTTCCTCCTCCTTGGTAGCTCCTCAGATCCAAGGATGCCCATGGGTGTCCCTCCTTCTCTAGGCTGAGCCCACGCATGTTGAAGATGGAGTCTGCCCCGAAAGGCCTCCAGTGCCTCCCTGGGGATGTCCTCTAACCCCCTCCCTCTGCTTTGTCCCATGCCCCTGTGTTCCTCAGGTCCCCCTCACCCTGTGCTCTGTCTTCTCTCCAGGACATATCCCTGGGCAGTCAGTCACCCCCTACTGGGTCCTGGATGGACGACCCTGGCGCGCTGTCAGCCTGGAGGAGCCGGTCAGTGCCATGTCACCTCGTCCTCCACAGGGGCCCTGAAACTCCCATCCCTTTTATCTCCCCCACATTACAGCTTCCAGTTTTGCTGGGGTCCCCAGAACCACCAAGTCACTGCTCCTGTAGGCCCCTCCCTGCCGAGTGGGCAGAAGAGGGCACTGGGGATTGGACATCTAGGTCTCGTGAGTCCGTACACGTGGAAGTCATTTCAGCTTTCTCCGCCCCACCTCCCCCTTTCCCTCCCTCCCTGGATGATCTGGGCCACCCCCACCCCCACCAGGCAGAAATGGGTCCAGGGTTTGTGGGGCCTGAAGCTTTTCAGGAGCCTGAAAAACAAAAAAAAAGCACTAAAAAGAAAACCTTTTGCAAAGTTGACCAGAACATGTGACCCTGTGGACACACTGCTGTCCCTCTCAGGGCCCCACCACTGAGGGCCTGAACCTTCAGCCTCACTGGCTCCTGTGGAATCCACTTCTGGTGGGGGGGGGGCAGTGGTCACTCTCCTGGTGTTCCCCCAGATGTGAGACCACCCCATGTGCTTCTGCAGGATGCTGTGCCCCAGCCTCCTCCCAATCCCGCCCTTCACAAGCTTCCAGAATAACCATGCCCCATCTGTTTGTGCCGTAATATCTGTGCTACAAACTAAGAGGCCAGTACCCTTGATATGCCCATTTTACAGATGGGCAAAGGGAATCCCAGAAAGGTTGGGGAAATTGTCCATGGTCACACAGCTCTTTAGGCTGGGAGCCTGAGACCCACTAAGGTCTGAACGATTTTAAACCATTGGCTACACCCCTGCCCCCCTTAGGCCCCCCCTAGAGAGCCCTCTTTGTTTGGAATTTTCAGCCCTACTGTCCAAACCCAGCAAGAGGGAAGGCAGGGGAGCATTACCATGAAGGCTGGGAGGCCCCCAGAGACCCAGCAGCTCCCAACCCAGGGCCCTCACTGGGATCCCCTAGGTCCATAAGGCCCCCCTTGCACTGGTCAAGCACAGCACTGGCCTGAGCTTTGAGATTGCCCTCCCCATCCCCGGGAGGGGAAGGCTGGGCACACGCTGGGGTCACTCTGCCTCTGGGCCTCCCTGTCTGTCTGGCCTGGGCTGTGACCAAGAGGGGAGCTCCAAAGGGGCCCTGCTCCCCATAACTGTGGGTCTTTGCCCCCAGGAAGCCTGCCAAGATGGTACAGAAGACAGAGTAGAGGTTGGGTATCCCCTCCAATAGGCAGGAAACACTCACATTTCAAGAAGGGGGGTATATATCGAGGGGCAGGGTACCAGGAGGGCAAGAGTAAAGACAGCAGGGGCTGCAGAGGAACCGGGACCTCGAGTATGGCCTTCCATCTGGGCCACTGCCTTTCTCCCAATGCAAACCTTTCCCCAATAAAGCAAGTGACATTCCAGCCACATGAGCTCATGCCGGAGGCCTTGTGGGGCCTGTGGCCAGGGAGGCAAGGGCTATCTGCTCCCCACTTGCAAAGGAAGAACTCCCTCCAAAGACTCTGAGACCCTTGGACAGGGCCCCAGCCCAGTGCATTTTTGGAGAAAAGGAGTCGGGGGTTAAACATTCTGAAGGCACAGCAGCCTCCCAGGAAGCTCCTGGGCCGGCTCCAACTCTGGGCCCCCAGCCAGGCTGAGTGGACAAGGGGGAAGTGGGGTGTTCCCACAGGGTGGGAGATGCCAAGAGGGTGGGGGAAGGAGAGAGGGCTGGCTGGCCAAGCCAGCCTCTTGACACCTAGCTGAGAACCAGTGTGCTCTCTTGGCTGGAATGGCGTCCATGTTTACTTCTTGGGTCCAGTGAAGCAGGTGTCGGAGCAGGAGGGACAGAGAGTGCTGGAGGCCCAGGAAAACTTTGGAAGAGGGAGCAGTTTGCCAAAATTGGAAGTGGAGGAGTAAAGTTTGAATTCTATAGGGAATGAGCAGCAGCTCATTTGGAAACAAGCCTCCGGTAGCAGAGGCTGTGAGGAGGCCCTGGCCATGGCTACCCGGTGCCCCCACAATGTCCTCAGCACCCCTCTGTCTTCCCCTGCTTTTGATACCCCTTCTGGGCATGAAAGAAGAGGGCGGGCCAGGCGAGGGGCACTTTTCTGGGACCTCTGGTCTCTAGGGAGGATGTCAGCATGCCTGGCAGGAGGCGCCAATGCCCTTCCAAGTGGCTGTTGTCAGGACAGCAAACATTCTGAGCTTGGGAACATCTTTGTATGTTCTCACCTCCTCCACACCCTCCATAGTATGTGGGGGGTCCTGCTGACCCCCCAGCCCACGTTCTCCTCAAGAACTTCCTCCCCAGCCAGCTGCACAGGCCACCTGCTCTCTGACAGGCAGGAGGTCTGGAGGCCACTGTCTCAGCCCCACACTCTTTCTTGCCCAGGTCTTGAAGCCAGACATGGGGCTGGTGGCCCTGGAGGCTGAAGGCCAGGAGCTCCTGCTTGAGCTGGAGAAGAACCAGTGAGTGCCAGGCTGGGGTAGGGCTGGGAGGAGGGGGTCAGTGTTGTGGGGCAGGGACTGACACGGATCTGTGCGGGTGGCTGGATGGGCAGAGGACCCCAGAGAGGGTGCAGATGACAGGGAGAGTCACGCAGGCCTGTGGCTGGCCCCCTGGAAGCTGAAGAGGACTGCTGAGGCTGTCAGCCCGGCTGTGGGGCACATCCACCCTCCCAACCCCAGGAGCGGCTTGTCAGCTCCTTGTTGGAGATGAGTGAGCACCATCTAGTGGACAGGTGCAAGATATGCTGAGTCTAAAGAAATCCTAGAGGGATCCCAAACATGAGCCGGCACTCCCGGTTAAGTGAAGGGCAGGGACAAAGATGCGGTGGCTTTGGGAGGCCAAGGCGGGCGGCTCACCTGAGGTCAGGAGTTTGAGACCAGCCTGGCCAAAATGGTGAAACCCCGTCTCTACTAAAAATACAAAAAATTAACTGGGCGTGGTGGCAGCACCTGTAATCCCAGCTACTTAGGGGACTGAGACAGGAGAATTGCTTGAACCCAGGAGGCAGAGGTTGTGGTGAGCCAAGATCACACCACTGCACACTCTGGCTTAGGCAGAGTGAGCCTCTGTCTCAAAAAAAGAAAAAAAAGAAAAGAAAAGAAAAGAAAAAAGAAGAAGATGCAGTGGCTACACTTGGGGGCTTCCAGTCTGACCTGCCTGGAAGGTCTCTATCTACAGGGACGGGAGCAGGGGGAATGAATCTGGGGAGTCCCAGGAGGGCCAGATCACAGAAAAGGCCATTTTAGTGCTCAGTGTCCTGGACCATCCAGAGCCAAAGATTTTGAGCTGGAGAAGGGACAGGCAGACCTGTACTCAGGAAGGTGCCTTGGGCTGGGTGGGGTGGGTGTCCCAGTTGGAACACAGGCTCTTAAAACCACCCAGACTATATTATCAATATATATTACCTACTGAGTGCTTGTTTGACTGCAGGCACTGTTCTGAGCACTTGACATGTACTTTATTCTCCCTCGTGGAGTTGGATGAACTGGGAACAAACTCTAGTTCCACTATGCCCAACCATATTTTCCCTGGGGCCAACGTCCCTACCATTTCAATGGAGTGGTCACATCACCTACCTCCTAGGGTGGCGGGTGTGTTGGAGCGAGGGTGGGGGGCAGAGCTGGGGCAGGTAGTGGAATGCCTGGGAGGTGGGAAGCAGCCATCATTAGGGGGTGGTCTGGAGGTAATGAGGCCAAAGTGAGGTTGGGGTAAAGGATTTTCTTTAAAGAAGAGATATTGACTTATGATTGATCCATCCACGTGGGAAAGATCCTGTTGAGATGGAGCCTGAAAATGAAATCATTACCGGAGTGGGGTGTGGAGAATGCAGGGAGGGCGGAAGCAGCGTGGGCAGGTGGGGGTTCTGTTTTCTCTAGAGGCAGTGGGTGAGCTTCAGTCACTGAAGAACAGATGGGAGGTATGTGGGGTCTGGAAGTCTGAGGAAAATATTTCAAGGATCTAGGGTAGGTGGGGGCAAGAGGGTTGACCAGATGCCCAAAAAAGGAGGGCAGCAGGCAGGGGAACCTGGGGAGGTTGCTGCATTTCCCTAACTCCAAGTCCCATTCCTCGGCAGTGTCTCCTGACTCCTCCCCTCCTGACCTGTGGATCCTGCTGCCTGCTGCAGGTCCCCTGGGAACCACAAACTCTTCCTCTATTCCCATTCCTCCTCCCTGGCATCCTCCCTGGCACTTCCCATACTCACACCTCCCACAACAAAACCATCACCAAGGCTCCTTCCTCTAGCCCCAAGAGTTTCTGATCTTAACAAGTCACCATTGCTCCTGTCCCTTCCCTAAGACACACTGAGTGCCTCACTCATAAAGCTGCTCCATTAGCATTTAGGAAGGAAGGCTGGGAGACATCCTGGAGGCAGCAGGAAGAAGCCAAATTCAATGCTCCCTGTAACACCCCCTCTCAGCAGGCTGCTGGCCCCAGGATACATAGAAACCCACTACGCCCCAGATGGGCGGCCAGTGGTGCTGGCCCCCAACCACAAGGTGAGATGTTTCCATGGGCTCTGGGATGCACCCCCAGAGGTACCCCCCACCATTCCTACCCCTCCTCCTCCTTGCATTCTTAAGGGGAGGTTGGAGCCAGCCCCTGCCACACCCTCCCTCTTGCCCCTCTTGCTCCAGCCCTGGCTGAGATGTGGGGCTGGCCCCTTCCTCCCTAGGATCATTGCCACTACCAAGGGCGAGTAAGGGGCTTCCCCAACTCCTGGGTAGTCCTCTGCACCTGCTCTGGGATGAGGTGAGCTCTGGGAGAGGAGGCTGGGCCTGGGATGGGGAAAGAGCTCCCTCACACCCACTCCTACCCCTCTGCACCCTAGTGGCCTGATCACCCTCAGCAGCAATGCCAGCTATTATCTGCGTCCCTGGCCGCCCCGGGGCTCCAAGGACTTCTCAACCCACAAGATCTTCCGGATGGAGCAGCTGTTCACCTGGAAAGGAGCCTGTGGCCACAGAGATCCTGGGGACAAAGCGGGCATGGCCAGCCTTCCTGGGGCTCCCCAGAGCAGGGTCAGGGGCATCCAGGGGATGGGAATGGGAATGCTGTATCTATAGCTCTCCAAATCAGAAGAGACAGGAATTCACAGGCCTTAAGTCCCAGTATTTTTACTGGAGTCTGAAGAAACAAAGTTCCAGCAAACATGTTAAATTTCTTTCTGGGAGCTGGGGTTGGTGGTCAGGATTCAAGCCCAGCAGCTTCCACTCAGGGACCCCATTTGCCCCTCCGCAGGACAGGCGAGAAGCGCGCAGGACCGGGAGGTACCTGGAACTGTACATTGTGGCAGACCACACCCTGGTGAGGAGACCCCAGGGGTTGGCGGGGTCTGGGATGGGGCCAGCTCAGCACCTCAAGCCACCAGGATTTCTGCCTTCCCAGTTCTTGACCCAGCAGCGAAACTTGAACCACACCAAACAGCGTCTCCTGGAAGTCGCCAACTACGTGGACCAGGTTGGGGGCGGGGGGAGAGTGGTGATGCGGGTGGCGGCGGCAGGACAGGCAGGTGCTAGTGGGGTGTGGGGAAGAGGAAGGGCGCCCCCATGAAGGAGCAGCGGCGCCGTGGGGCGCCCTGTCCTGGCTTCAGCCCCGCTTCGCCCTCAGCTTCTCAGGACTCTGGACATTCAGGTGGTGCTGACCGGTCTGGAAGTGTGGACCGAGCGGGACCGCAGCCGCGTCACGCAGGACGCCAACGCCACGCTCTGGGCCTTCCTGCAGTGGCGACGGAGGCTGTGGGCGCAGCGGCCCCACGACTCCACGCAGCTGCTCACGTGGGTGCCTCTGACCCGGACGCGGGTCCTGGGCGGGGCGGCCTCACCTCCCGGCCCCGCCCGGTCACTCCGCGCTCCGCCCCCAGGGGCCGCGCCTTCCAGGGCGCCACAGTGGGCCTGGCGCCCGTCGAGGGCATGTGCCGCGCCGAGAGCTCGGGAGGCGTGAGCACGGTAAGCCCCGCGGGCGGGGGCGAGGGGAGACACGGTAGGCTCTACGGCCGCAGTGACCGCCCTCCCACGGTCCCCCAGGACCATTCGGAGCTCCCCATTGGCGCCGCAGCCACCATGGCCCATGAGATTGGCCACAGCCTCGGCCTCAGCCACGACCCCGACGGCTGCTGCGTGGAGGCTGCGGCCGAGTCCGGAGGCTGCGTCATGGCTGCGGCCACCGGGTACGCGCATGGTGGGTCGGGGCCGCGGCGGGGCGGCTAGTCCTGGGGACTTCCTCCGCTGCGTTTCTTTGGTCGTCCCTCAGTTTCCTCTTCTGTAGAATGGGGATAATGATCATAGTGTCCGCTTCAGGGTGGTTTATGAGGCTTAAAGGGAAGAAGCTCAGGCAAAGTGGATTCTCAACGGTATGAAGATAATTTTCCGAGTAACCTGGCGAGGTTACTCCTACACCAGGAGGCGCACCGCCGGGTCGCGATTCCACCTTGGGTCCCGGGCTGCCCACTCTTGGGGCCACACCGTCCTCCGTCCCGCTCGCTGTGTGACTTTGCGCGGGTCACTTCCCCTCTCTGGGCTCTGCCTCTAGAGGATTCGAGCCTCCCATCACTCAGGCGTGTCTGCGCATCTGGTGGCTGTAGCCAAGCCCAGGGATGGGGATCGGAGAAGCGCGGGGGTTGGAGGACTGTCTCTCCACTTTCAATGCCCTCCCCGTGCCAGTAGGCACCCGTTCCCGCGCGTGTTCAGCGCCTGCAGCCGCCGCCAGCTGCGTGCCTTCTTCCGCAAGGGGGGCGGCGCGTGCCTCTCCAATGCCCCGGACTCCGGACTCCCCGTGCTGCCGGCGCGCTGCGGGAACGGCTTTGTGGAGGCGGGCGAGGAGTGTGACTGCGGCTCTGGCCAGGTTAAGTCGGCTCGCCCGACCCCCACTCGCCCTCTCGGCCCAGGTCTGGGGCGCTGCGCCCTCACCTGGTCCCTTCTTGCCTTTCTGGTCCCAGGAGTGCCGCGACCTCTGCTGCTTTGCTCACAACTGCTCGCTGCGCCCGGGGGCCCAGTGCGCCCACGGGGACTGCTGCGCGCACTGCCTGGTGAGGGCATGGAAGGGTCAGGGTGAGGGTTTCGGGCCGCTTGGGAGCCGGTTTGTTGGCCTTAGTTAATTGGTGCCCTCAGGTTCCCCCGTTGGGTGCTGGTGCTGGCGTGGGTCGGCCTGGCTCCCCCAGCTCCGAGCCACGCTCTCGACGTGGACTTCTCACTGCCCACGGCCTCTCTCTGCCCTCCCCACTACCCTTCACCTGCGTAGCTGAAGCCGGCTGGAGCGCTGTGCCGCCAGGCCATGGGCGACTGTGACCTCCCTGAGTTCTGCACGGGCATCTCCTCCCACTGTCCCCCAGACGTTTACCTACTGGACGGCTCACCCTGTGCCAGGGGCAGTGGCTACTGCTGGGATGGCGCATGTCCCACGCTGGAGCAGCAGTGCCAGCAGCTCTGGGGGCCTGGTGAGAGGACAGGAGAACCCTTGCACCCTGTTCCCCATCCTCTGGTGGGGCCAGTTTTCTACTGTGGGGAAGATGGGCAGGGGAAACTGAGGCCCGCTGAGCGCGGCCCCTCTCCGAGCTGCCCCCAGCCTGGCCCATTCTTCCTCAGGCTCCCATCCAGCCCCCGAGGCCTGTTTCCAGGTGGTGAACTCTGCGGGAGATGCCCACGGGAACTGCGGCCAGGACAGCAAGGGCCACTTCCTGCCCTGTGCAGGGAGGTAGGGAGTGGAGCTGAGTGGAGGGAGCAGAAGCTATGGAGTGGGTTTGGGGAAGGGGGGTACTGCAGCTGTCGACTCCCCTCTGCTTCCTCCCCAGGGATGTCCTGTGTGGGAAGCTACAGTGCCAGGGCGGAAAGCCCAGCCTGCTCACACCGCACATGGTGCCAGTGGACTCCACCGTTCACCTAGATGGCCATGAAGTGACCTGTCGGGGAGTGTTGGCACTCCCTGGTGCCCAGCTGGACCTGCTTGGCCTGGGCATGGTAGAACCAGGCACCCAGTGTGGACCTAGAATGGTGAGCTCTGCCCACCCGACCCTTCCTTGCCACTTGAATTGTGCAGGCCAGTGTCCCGCTCACTGCCTGGTGCACCGCCCGTAGGTGTGCCAGAGTAGGCGCTGCGAGAACACCGCCTTCCAGGAGCTGCATCGCTGCCTGACTGCCTGCCACAGCCATGGGGTGAGAGCCCGAGGAGTCGGGGTGACCTTGGGGTTCTAATCCCACGTGACCCTCCTTCCCTTCTCTTCTCTGCAGGTTTGCAATAGCAACCATAACTGCCACTGTGCTCCAGGCTGGGCTCCACCCTTCTGTGACAACCCAGGCTTTGGTGGCAGCACGGACAGTGGCCCTGTGCAGCCTGAAAGTACACCAGTGGGGGGCATGTGGGCAGGAGCTGGGGTGGTGCACCTGCTCAGGACTCAGTCCCCCTTCCCCCGATCCCCGCAGACCGTGACACCTTCCTGCTGGCCATGCTCCTCAGCGTCCTGCTGCCTCTGCTCCCAGGGGCTGGCCTGGCCTGGTGTTGCTACCGACTCCCAGGAGCCCATCTGCAGCGATGCAGCTGGGGCTGCAGGAGGGACCCTGCGTGCAGTGGGTAGGCTCCAAGTGCCTGCTTCCTGAGCCTACTCCTGCGGTTCACCTCCTCAAAGCTCTGCTGGGGCTGCAGGAGTTGGAGCAGGCCCTCAGCCTTGTCCCCAGGTGCAGAGAGCAGCCCCAGAGGCTGTGGAAAGAAGTAGCTTTGAACAGGAGGTTCCAGTGGCCTCCCAGTCAAGCAAGGGGGTGGATCCCTGCCCCACCACCAGCACCGCAAGGCATGGCCCTCCACCTCCCAGTACAGCTCCTCTTGTTCACGCTCCTGCTTCTCCCACCAGCTGAATGCCTCACCCTTGACTTCGCCCTGTTTTCCCCTGGCTCAGATTGCAGTCCCTGTACCATGCTGCCCCTGGAGGCCTGTCTAGCCTCTGTCTCACGAGTTTTCAGCCCTTTGCCACTTCCTCTGCCTAAATCGCCTCTGTCACCCCCTTGAAGTTCCCAAATGCTGGGCCCAGCACATCTTTTCACTCCATACCACTGGTCAGCTGCAGCACTGGCTGCCCCTGTGCCAAGGCCCTGCCCTAAAACAGTTCTCTGGGACCTGGGACCTGGGTGGTGGTGGAGAGGGGAGTCACATAATACTAAGCATGGCTGTCCTAGGACTCACCCTGCACCAGGGCCCTAGGCAGGGCAGGCACTCTGTGGCCATGTCTGACATAGCCTGATCTTTGGAGTGCTCCAGGCAAACCAAGGGAGATGGCAGGATTTGGGCCAGAGATGGGGGCAGAGGGCATAACAGGGGCAGGGCACCACCTGGGCCCCAGGTAGCAGCTAAGAGGACCCTGACACAGTGAGTCATGATTGAGGGTGTGTGGGCAGAGGAGCAAGGTGGCCAGAGCCTGGTGTGTCAGCATGGAGGGGGCGCTGCAGAGGGCGGCGGCTGCTTCTCATCCCCAGGCGGGGGGAGTCTTAGGGCAGGGGAGAGTGTTTTGAAGGAACATCACAGGAAATGACAAGGCCCTGGGAGATGGGATGGGGACAGGCAAAGATGGCTTGGAATCATCAAGGGCAGCAGGGTACCCAGGGGCAAGGAGAGCAGACATAGCTGCCGAAGGGGCGGACGCCCAGGGTTCTTTGGAAGCTGAACGATGCCAACATTCAGAGAGTGCCAGGCTGCTGGGTGGTGCCAGAGCCTGGAGGAAATGTTAGGACTAGAGAGAGGAGGTGCCAGCCGAGGGCATGAGGCTCAAGTGGAGCCTGGATCCCAAGGCTTCCCTGAAGAGGGAGCAGGAAGGGAGCTGAGCGGGTGACTTGGAGCAGACAGGTGCCCCCAAGAAACTCAGTAAGCGCAGAACTGGACACCATGCTGTGGGGAGGCAATAACCCACTCAGGGTCACTGTGCCAACCTCCTGGACTCTTGTCACATTGCTCAGGCCCAAGGATGGCCCACACAGGGACCACCCCCTGGGCGGCGTTCACCCCATGGAGTTGGGACCCACAGCCACTGGACAGCCCTGGGCCCTGGGTGAGTGAGGCACCAGGGGGAGGAGGAGAGGGAAGGGAGGGGCTCATGCCTCCTGCCTCCTTTCAGGTGGGCAGCACCCAGTCACCTTGAGTCCACTGTGGCCCCCCCAGCCCCAGGGTCTCCTGCTGACCATATTCACAGCATTCACCCTCCACCATTGCTCCCGGGCCCCGAGAACTCTCATGAGCCCAGCAGCCACCCTGAGAAGCCTGTGGCCCGCAGTCCCGCCTGACCCCCAAGGTAGGCAGGGACCCGGATTCAAAGCCTCCCCCTCTCATCACCCACCCTCCCACCTCTCCCACCCCTCAGCTCGCTGCTCCCTAATCAGGTTTCTGGGCTCAGGTTATTATGGAAATGAGTTTATGACCTCTTGGAGAAGCTGTTATCATGGAGACCAGGATGGTGGAAGCCCCTGAGCTGGGGAGGGAGAAGCTGTGGCTTTTCCTGGATCATTGGTCCTCACTGAGTGAGGATGGGCTCCCTGTCACACAGCTTGCAGCCTGGGGCCCCGGTCCTTAGGGGACAACATATTCTCCTCGTTCTCAGCAGATCAAGTCCAGATGCCAAGATCCTGCCTCTGGTGAGAGGTAGCTCCTGAAATGAACAGATTTAAAGACAGGTGGCCACTGACAGCCACTCCAGGAACTTGAACTCCAGGGGCAGAGCTAGTGAATCACTGGACCTCCAGCACCTTCAGGCAGCTTGAAAGTTTCTTCCCCGAGTGGAGCTTCAACCCACCCACTCCAGGAACCCAGAGCCACATTAGAAGCTCCTGAGGGCAAGGGGACACTGCTGGGCACACTCTCCAGCTCAATAATCCATCAGTCCCAGAAGCAAAGGTCACACAGCCCCTGACCTCCCTCACCAGTGGAGGCTGGGTAGTGCTGGCCACCTGAAAAGGGCTCTGTCCTGGGAGCCTGGTGCGTCTCCTACATGCAATTTCCACAGACCCAGCTCTGTGGAGGGCATGACTGCTGGCCAGAAGCTAGAGGTCCTGGGGCCCTATCATTTGACTGAGTTCCCACTGCCCCTGCAAACAAGCATAATTTTGGAGAACCTTCCTTCCTGTTTCTTCCCACCTTGTCTTGTCCCCTAGGTGGTTCCTCAGCCTCCACCAACAATCCCAGTGCTGCACCTGAAGTTCTGGAGCTCAGAGTCTGACAGCCTCTCCCCCATTCTGTGTATGGGAGAGGACAGAGGGAACCATTTAAGAAAAGATACCAAAGTAGAAGTCAGAAGAAAGACACGTTGGCTAAGCATGGTGGCTCATGCCTATAATCCCAGAACTTTGGGAGGCCGGGGTAGGAGGATCACTAGAGACCAGGAGGTCCACACCAGCTGGGACAACATAGCAAGACTCTGTATCTACAAAAAAAATTTAACATTAACTGGGCATGGTGGTGTGTACCTGTAGGCCTCGCTGCTCAGGAGGCTGAAGCAGGAGGATCACTTGAGCCTGAGTTCAACACTGCAGTGAGCTATGATGACACCACTGCACTCCAGCCTGGGTGACAGAGCAAGACCCTGTCTCTAAAATAAATTTTAAAAAGATATATTGCACTTGGACCTTGGTTAGTCTTTTCTATATGTAAATTCAACCCTACGGGGTGCCCTGAGGACCCCACAGGGTGGTGGCTAGCAGGGTGGTGGCTGGCAGGCCAAGCCTAGACGGCAGCCAGGGTCTCAGGCATGTGTCTGGGCACAGGACGGTGTTGCCTAGTTTGAACGCTCTCTTTGCTCTGTCGCTCCTGCCTCTCTTGGGTGTTCACATTCTCCCATTGCTTCATGCAAGAGCTGCTGAGTGGCCTATATCAGCCAGCTTTTGCCGCATTAACAAAACCATCCCAAAACTGAGTGTGGGGAGGCAACCTCAGCTCAGGCTCCACTCCACAAGTCCAAGGGGCCAGGTGAGAGTGCTCTCTAAAGCCCCCTCCTGCCTCAGTTGTAGTTGCGAAATTTTAATTTATGAAGGTGACAAAATGATGACACAGAGGCCAATGCTGTTGAAAGAACTTATTACTCAGTTTCCCACCCTGCAGGGCCACAGTGGGGACGCACTAGGTTTGGTCCAGGGACAGAATCAGGAGCCAGTGGAAGGCACAGGCCACAGCCCTCAGTGCTGTTTCCACTGGGAAGCCAAGGGGCCGGGGGAAGAGGGTAGGATTGGCATTTTGAATCATTCTGGTAGGCTTTGGGGCGTGGGGTTGGGCCTAGTTGTCTGGGTCGGTACCTGGCGCTGAGCTGGTTTAAGACAGGGGAAATACTGGCCTAGTACATGAGAGTTCCTTGAAGGGGGTGGTTCGTGTATGGACTCAAGACTGGTCGGTTTGCATATGAAAGGCATGAGTTGTTTCTGATCCCCAAGAATCAAGCAGTTTCTGTCCAGCCAACAAGTCCCCACCCCAAGATGTTAAACCATCATGAAATAGAGAATCTAAGGCCAGGCATGGTGGCTCACGCCTGTAATCCCAGCACTTTGGGAGGCCAAGGCGGGTGGATCATTTGAGGTCAGGGGTTCAAGACCAGCCTGGCCAATGTGGTGAAACCCCATCTCTACTAAAAATACAAAACTTAGCCTGTTGTGGTGGCACGTGCCTATAATCCCAGCTACTTGGGAGGCTGAGGCAGGAGAATCGCTTGAACATGGGAGGTGGAGGTTGCAGTGAGCTGAGATCGCGCCACTGCACTCCAGCCTGGGAGACAAAAACAAGACTCCGTCTCAAAAAAAAAAAAAAAAGACAGAATCTAAAAAAACATGTTAATATACCTCCCCCGCTCTTACCCTTCAGGAGGGGATGTCTGGACCCCACGGCACTGCAGTTACAAGGGACCCTAGGGGAGGCCAACTCTGCCCTCTTGGCTATTCCCTAAGCACCCCCTCCACCCCTTCCCCATTCAGAGGCGAACCCTGGGGAGGCCAAGTGGGAAGGAAAGAGGGCTGTGGGAAGGGAGGTCCCAGTCTGGGGCAGAGGCCTGTCTGGAGCCCGAGATCACCTGGCTGTGCTGGAGAACTGGAAAACAGAAGCTCAGCGGAAAGGAGCTGGCATGGGGCCAACAGCAGAAAAGCAGGAGGGACGCAGAAGTGACTGGGAAGCAAGAGGGCAGGTATGGACCCTGAGGCTGAGCAGGGGGTGCTGAGGGGCAGAGTGGACATCGAGCTGGGGGCAGTGAGTGAGCCCAGCTCAGCTGTGACGCCCTCTCTTGGTCACCCAACTACCAGCTGCTTGGGCTGCCCCGGGAGGGACTGGGCTTCCTCTGACACTCTGTGCGGCCATCTGTCACGCCTTCTTCTCTCCCGCCCCCTCCCTTGACTTGTGGCACCCACAGACAGGTGGGAGAGTGCACCTGCCCTGTGTGGTCAGAGCTTGGTCTTGAGTTTCCTTCCCTCATCCCTTTTTCCTGCCACACGCCAGAACACAAGAGGATGTGTCAGAGGCCTGTGAACTAGAGCAACTCCATCTTGAATAGAGGCTGAGTAAAATAAGGCTGAGACCTACTGGGCTGCGTTTCCAGACAGTTACAGCATTCTACATCACAGGATGAGACAGGAGGTCAGCACAAGATACAGGTCATAAAGACCTTGCTGATAAAACAGTTTGCAATAGGCCAGGTGCAGTGGCTCATGCCTGTAATCCCAACATTTAGGGAGGCTGCGGTGGGTGGATCACTTGAGATCAGGTGTTTGAGACCAGCCTGGCCAACAAGGTGAAACCTTATCTCTACTAAAAGTACAAAAACTAGCCAGGCATGGTGATGTGCGCTTGTAGTCCCAGCTACTTGGGAGGCTGAGGCAGGAGAATCGCTTGAACCCAGGAGGCGGAGGTTGCAGTGAGCTGAGATCGTGTCACTGCATTCCAGCCTGGAACGAGACTCTGTCTCAAAAAACAAAACAAAGAAACAAAAAAACCAGGTTGCAGTAAAGAAGCTGGCTAAAACCCACCCAAACCAAGATGGCGAGGAGAGTGACCTCTGGTCGCCCCCACTGCTACAACTCCCACCAGCGCCATGACAGGTTACAGATGCCATGGCAGTATCAGGAAGTTACCCTGTATGGTCTAAAAAGGGGAGACAAGAACAATCCACCCCTGTTTAGCATATAATCAAGAAATAATCATAAAAATGGGCAACCAGCAGCCCTCAGGGCTGCTCTGTCTATGGAGCCATTCTTCTATTCTTTTACTTTCCTAATAAACTTGCTTTCACTTTACGGACTGATTTCGAACTCTTTCTTGCAGGAGATCCAAGCACTCTCTCCGGGAGTCTGAATCTGGACCCCTTTCTGGTAACATGTTGTAGAGTGAAGCACAACCACTGCAGGGGCATCTTGGTTTACATTTTGCCTCAGTGGCCGTGGTTAGCACAGTAGAAAGCACATCAGAGTCCTCCGATTCATAAAAAAAATTAGGAAGTGAACCACCAAAAACCACAGACAGATGTACTGAGACAGGATACGTAGTCAAGAAAGTGACCACATTCTAGGTGCGCAGCAGCAACTGTGGTGACCGTACAATCAAGCCTCAGCATTGGCACTGCAATTGAGCTCATTCAAGCAAAGCTATCTTCAGCAGGGACTCCCCCCTGCAGAGAGCAAGCGCATTTTTATTTTACTTGTCCTCAAACAGATCCTTTGCTCATTATAATAGTAAGAAACACACCCCTGTGTGGAGATTTAAGATGCTAATGAGGCCGAGCACAGTTGCTCATGTCTGTAATTCCAGCACTTTGGGAGGCTGAGGTGGGCGGATCACTTGAGGTTAGAAATTCTAGACCAGCCTGGCCAACATGGTGAAACCTCATCTCTACAGGTGGCAGGCACCTGTATCCCCAGCTACTCGGGAGGCTGAGGCAGAATAATTGCTTGAACCCAGGAGGTGGAGGTTGCAGTGAGCCAAGATTGTGCCACTGCACTCCAGCCTGAGTGACAGAGCAAGACATCTCAAAAAAAAAAAAAAAAGGCAAGACAAATAATGGGGGGCTTTTTTGGTCACTTTAAAAATCTCAGTATTGAGACTTTATTTGAGACAGGGCCTTACTCTGTTGCTCAGGTTGGATGAGATTTTTAACCTCAATATTTACTTATAGAATAACTTTTTGGTTAGTCAAAACAACACTGTGTCTCATTTTGATCAGAATAAAACATCAGACAACTCAAGAGAAACATTCTACAAAATAACTGGCCAGGATTCTTCAAAAGCGTCAAGGGTAAAGATAAGGAAAGATGAAGGAACTCCCAGACTGAAGAGACTAAGGAGGCAACTGTGACATGGGATCCTAGAATGGATCTTGGAACAGAAAAAGGACATTAGTGGAAAAATGAGAAATGCAAAATGGTCTACAGTTTTGTTAATAGGATTGTACAAAGGTTAGTTTCCTAGCTGTAATGATCGGACTATGATTAAGTAAGATGTACCATTAGAGGAAGCTGGGTAAAGGGTGTAAGGAAAATGCTTACATTTTCCAACTTCTCTGCAAGTCTAAAATCAGTCAACAATAAGAAGTTTAAAATAGGCCAGGCATGGTGGCTCACACCTGTCACCCTAGCACTTTGAGAGGCCAAGGTGGGAGGATCGTTTGAGCCCAGGAGTTCGAGACCAGCCTGGGCAATAGGGTGAGACCCCAACTCTATTCAAAAAAAAATTTTAAGTTTAAAATAAAATTATATTAAAAAGGAAAAGAAAAATGCTGTTTCATAGTGTTCCTAATTTAGCATGGGAGGGACCAGGTCTCCCTGGGTGGTTGTCTGTGTGTTGCTGGGTGTGCGTGGTGGGGCTAGTGTGTTGGGGTCCATCTAGGCACATTCAGGTGCGGAATCCCGTGGCTCCCAGGTTTACTTGAAGGTGCAGCCTGGGGTGGAGACTTAATGAGGGCGGGGAGTTGTCGCAGCAAAGGCTCCTCCCAGGGGTATCAGCGCAGACAGCTGGGTTCTCACTGTGCTCCTGCTCCAGAGACGGTAGGAAGGTGGCGCCTATCAGACTAGGGCTCTGCCAGCCATCCTTCTCTGTTCAAGGTCCAGCATGGTCTGCTGCCTGGGGCTTGTGCTGCTGCTGCTGTTGCTGGGTGAGCACCCCTGTCTTCCTCTGGACTCCGAACCCTGGCTTCTCTGTCCCTGCTCCTCAGTGACAAGGTGGGAGGGCAAGAGATTCCAGAAAAAGCTGAGCCACAAGAAGGGTTGCCAGCGAGAGGCCTGTGCTCAGGGCTTGGGGACACCTGGCAATAGACCCCACTATGTGCCGAGCACCTCGCCTCCCAGCCCAGTCAAGCCACCACCGCCACCCCCGTCCCGAGTCCAGCCTTGGCACCCCTGCCCCAGGAACTTTTGCCTATTGTCTGCCGTCTCCCAACTCTCTCACCCTCCCCTCAGCCTCAGCCCTCCTACTCATTGCACAGATTCCTTGCTGTGAATCTTCGGTGTTGTTCATCTGTTGTTCCACCTTCTTGGACTGCTCCTTCTCTGCGTGGATGTCGCGGAGGGAGGGGTCACTTTACTGAGTGTAGTGTGAAAAGTGGAATCTGGTAAAGGTTTAAGGCGGAGATTTTGCAGCTGAGATGAGCTGC